AGGCTTTGCTAGCAGATCGTAAGCCTAATGCAGACACAACNGATGCCAATTTGCTCGCAACTTTTGAGTATATCTATTGCCAATCTGCTGGCATATTGCGTGCATTTTGCTTACTGGGTTGTTTGCTGGGTATATAAAGCAATCTCCCTACTATCTTCAAATAGTCAACAAAATACAGAAAAAACATAAACTGATAAGGATAAATAACAAGTGAAACTGTTAAGAACACTATTATTTGAAAATATAATTTTCGAGAAATGGGAAATACGGTTTGAGTTTGTCCGTGTCTGAACATGATATTGATAGAGTTTTTTTTGAAGTTTTATGTATCATTTCAGATATTGATCTTTCTTTTAAAAAAAAAAGATTCTACATATAATATTTTTGCATTATTCCAAGTGAAATTGTGATCCGTATTTAGTTGATGTGACAACAGCATAATCCTGTCAACCATACCTATTTTTTGAGCCAGGAGGTGTGAAGAATGAAAATTGTTTCAAATATGAATATTTTCCATTTCTTGAAAATTATATTTCCAAATAACAGTGTTCTTAACAGTTTCACTTGTTATTTATCGTTATCAGCTTATGTTCTCTGTATTTTCGTGACTATCTGGGGATAGTAGGGAAATTGCTTTATATATGACATACCGTAACTCAGTGTTGACGTTGTGTTTGACCTAAGAAATTTTAATACATTGACATTCTATTGCTTTGACAACACCATTTAATCTGCTAGACACAATAACTCACGCGCTGATCGGACCCCTTTCGATTTCTTTTCAAATATGTAAGTTTTTTTGCGATTGCGGAGATTTATCATCTTCATTTTCTCATTTATTTCTCAAACTTTGTATATATATATTTATAAGTTTTGTAATTATTATACAGATTGTTACTGAAGAAGATCCCAGTGTAGATTGAAACGTTTGACAATTCAATAAACAAATATATGTACCAACAACACCAAGGTTTGCTCGTATTGGCCCTTTTCCAAATTTATTTAATTAATAAAATAATCTAAAAATAAAACCTTTAGAATGATAACAAAAATAGCAAAAGTACCTTTAACATTTAATTGAAATTCTTCTCGCTTCAGCCCACCGCTATTACCAGCGGTACATCCGTATTTTCCTTGATCGCTAAGATGAACTTCTGCAATATAAAAACTTCCGTTCTTAAATATATTGAATCGAGGATCAACTGCGTCGTTCATGCGAGAATCTTTATCCCATTGAATTGTCGGTGTAGGGTAACCTTCGGCGACACAATGCAGCATTACTGGATATCCCTCAATAGCTTCTGTCGGATTATCTGGCAGTTTCGTGAACTTTGGTGCGACTATGAAAGATACGCGCAATCGTGTTAATTGATCGTTCCATTAACAACGTGACAAGATTCGATACTTACCAACTACATCGATGCTAATTGTGTGATTGATGGATCCCTGAGTGTTGTTCGCGATGCAAGTATATCGACCCTTATCCTCCATCTTAACACCGTTGAAGTGTAAAGTGCCATTGATATCTTGCACGTGCTTAGGAAATTTCTCGTCCTCGCCCTCTTTGACCCACTTTACCGCGGGATTCGTAGCACCTTGGGCTTTGCACGATACCTTCGCCGTAGATGCGAGCTCTAAGCGTTTATTGACAGGCTGCGGCGAGAACTTGAGCTTCTCCTCGACTGTGAGAACAGCTTGATCCGAAAGCACGGGTGGAAATCCCGTAGTGAATATCTGGCACATATAATGTCCTTTGTCGGACAGATCAACGCTTTTGAAGTGCAAAGTAACATTGCCGTGATTATCGGTCACGCGGTATCTCGTTGGACCGCCCGATTCTCTCAGTTGCATTCCGTCTTTTAACCAGTGCACATACGTTACTGGCGGTTCCATACCGGAATATGAACAACTCAGAGTCACGGAGTCACCTTCCGTTACGCTAAGTGATTCTGGAGAGCTTACAATACTAGGTGGAACTATAACACACACAATGCAATTAATAAAATATTTTCCATTCATTTTCCAATTATGACGCGTATTCACGTGTAAATTGTTATAAAAACATTTATTTTTATTGTTATGTTTAATTGTCTAGATATTTAATTAATTAGATATTTAAACTTACTGGATATAATTATTTGGACGGATATATCCGTTTCACCAGCGAGATTTTCGGCCACGCAAGTATAGTTGCCGTCGTCCTCGGCCATTCGTGCTTTCGCAATAATAAGCGTGTTGTCTTGAACGCGCACGGGACCGGTATCGCTTATTATATGTCCCGTAGGATCTCTCCAATAAACTTTAGGCTGCGGAAGCCCCTTAGGCTCTAAGCAACTTATTTGAAATTCTTGACCCTCACCTACAATCGCCAACTGAGTTCCCCGTTTTGGCTCGAAAGCGGCCATTGTAAAGTTTAGTAGATCTGAAAATTTCAGTTATTTTCAGAACTTTTCTCATTTATAGCTTTCAAGAAGAATATAATGAAAAATATTATAATAACAATTGTTTCTTATAAATAATTCTGCTATTTAGAAAATATGTGTCAATACTACTTTTATACACGTATAATTTAGATATAAAATTCAATATTAATTCTTTAAAATATATACAATTTTATAATTTTATTATACATTTATGAAATTATATATGTTCTTTTTTATTAACTTTTCTAAATATTAATAACTTCAAATTTGTTTGACACTTACAAGCAATTTGTAATTCGACTGTATAACTGACTGTAGTTTCGTCCCTTATTCCATGACAGGAGTAATATCCCTGGTCCCTTTGATCGGCGGCGTGTATCATGAGAGTGCCATTGTCAAAAATGGTTCGCTCCTCGTCAGATTCCAGCGGACCGATTTCTTTGAAGAACCACTGTACCTCGTCGGCGTCCTTGAAAACGCAGTGCAGAGCAGCTGGCTCGCCGCGCTTAGCAATTAAGTTTCTCGGAATAACCTCAATCGTCGCAGTTTCATTTCCGGAAACGATTAAGGGGTAGCTCTCGGTCACAGGCGAGGACCCTGCCTCGTTCTTAGCCAGACAAGTGTACATGCCGCTGTCTTCGGCGACTGCTTTGTGTATGTGCAGCTTCTTCTTCTTGATCTCGATACGCTCGCTTCGTCCCACGCTTATCGTATTTCTGTAAAAGGAACAGCAGGCGAATGATACAATTCGAATCATCCTCATGAGATATACAAATTATCGTACAATTGTGAGGTCAAATTTTTGCACCCTAACTGAGACGCTGTTAATTTACTTTCGATAACTTATCCGATAAGTTATTCAGAATCTTTACATGTGACTTTAATGTTGTCATATGATCATAATTCTACTACACACGCAGTTTCACACTTTTTACTTTTTAATTTTTTTAATAATATATTTTATAAATATTGATATTAAAACTTCAAATAATAACTTTTGATTTTGTCTTAAAAGTAAAAGATATGTCAGATATGTTTAAAAAGTGTCAAAGAAAAGCGATTTACCATTTTTAACGCATGACGCCAAATATCATTAAAAATTAAACAATGTGTTTTGTGGAAGAAGTAGAGGTCGCGGTTTTTTAGTGAGATAAAGGAGATTAAAGGTGACAGTGATACCCGATGGCATACAATCGAGGCAAGGGAATGTCATTTCATAATTCACCGATCTGTTTCCGTAAACGTCAAGTCAGTTATGCTAGATTCATTCCTTTGCTTGATTGTACCCTTCTTTCTCCCTCACTTTTGGTGACTTTTCCAGTGACAGTAGTATTAGTATCATCTCTTCTTCTTTCCCGTATCTATTGCGCGAGGCGGACAGATAAATAAACAAAGTTGTAGTATACAAAGTTAAACTATAGACAAAGCAACTAACTTGAACCATTCGTATTTCAAGTCGCCAGAGCCATCGACGTGACACCGAAGCTCAACCTCGCTGCCCACGTGAATCGAAGACGATGCTTTCGGCTGTTGCAATTGAACGTTTGCCTCGCTGATCCCTGCAATCAGAAATCGATACATAGTACATACCTTGTACAGCAACGATTAATAATTAATTAGACAAATGTTTGCTGTAAACGGATGCATTACAGCAAGCTTGACAAACTGAATTTTTAAGCAGCAACTATACACGTGTTCGAATACTATATTCCACCCTTTCCAGAATTAATCACGTGTACTAAATTATTAGTAATGATTCACAGAATTAATTAATCTATTAAATTGTTAGTAAAGGCTATAATAGGCTATAAAACTATCGCAGTAATAATTTATATTTCTGTTTCTATATAATTCAACTTATTATAAAAATTAATATGAAAATCTCGTAAAATTGTCAATAATATAAATTGAGAGCCTCTGTATTGAAAACCTGTATTGAAAACTTGAAATTATTTACATTAGGGGAGACCTCACCGATTTTAATGACTTTGAAATATGTCGTCAAGCTCAACATTCTATGAACAACTTTTCCTTATATATATGACCGCCGCTCGACTTTAGTTTCCGAGATATTCACAAAAAGCTTTAGTTAAAATTTTACAATTATACTTTATTTTTCATAATTAAAGAATCTCTTCAGGCTCTGAAGTTTCTAAACTAATAAATATATATATTCGGTCATAGGAGCCGTTCGCTAGGTGTTGTGCGGAAATTATATGTGTATATATATACATATATACGTGTTCACGTGTAAATTTTTACACGTGAAATTCGAATTGAAATAACAATTCTAAAATTCATATTGGATGCTATACTTGCATCTCGTATATGAGAAATCCCAAATACCCCCCTAATTGAAATTAAATTTATATTGCGAAAAAAACTCCTTGGCCAGGAGTCGAACCTGGAATCTCCGGCTTTCCGTGCCGTCGCCTTTGAATATTGCGAGAAAGACTCCAAGTGCCTCGGTGGCCGAATAGGAAAGACGACGGCACGGAAAGCCGGAGATTCCAGGTTCGACTCCTGGCCGAGGAG